GATAGCTTTACAAAAATAAAGAAAATATCACAAACGAATTTATATCTCGCTCAGTAACAAGCAGTATGGACCACTTTGACTGTTGGCCACAGCTGCTAGCTCTTACTGTAATAAAGAAACTATCACAAACGAATTTATATCTCGCTCAGTAACAAGCAGTATGGACCACTTTGACTGTTGGCCACAGCTGCTAGCTCTTACTGACGTTTCATTGCAAGACGGCCTTCACTTACAGCTGGAGTGAACATTGTCACGAACTATTTATGGAAAAGGTTAGGTTCATCTTTCGTTTTTCGGGAAGAGCCAAAAAGAGAGGATCTACGCGAGCTCTGGCTTGTTTTGATATACATCGGATGATGTCAGCACACTATTAGCATGGATCACAACGTCGACATCGGCTTTGCCTAATACAAATGGAGTACGTAGAGACTAGACCTCAAAGGTGACAATTACGCTGAGCCAGGGTTCTTAGGCGTATTTTGAGCCGTTGGTATCGGTATCATTCCATACTTGGACATCTACACTATGTAAGAAGAACTTGATATTACTTTTTTGTTTGATCTCCTTTGTTTGTAATGACTTCTGAATACGACGACTCAAAAGCTGAAGTCATTGATACGTCGCTCATGTTGGAATCGCGCCACAACCATTCGTCGTAGAAATTGCCGTGTTGTAGTCGGTGCCCCAGGAAACGTTCTTCGATTCTCGTAGCTTTAATCTCAATGTCTTTTGTGGTGATATGCTTTCCAACCTTTTAGGGTATTTTTTGCCGTTTAGATACGACTCAATTTCAAGACTTTTTTGTTGTTAGCGTGACTCACATACACAATCTATGCTAATAGTGTGTTGTCATCATTTGATGTATATTAAAGCAATCTAGAGCACATATAGGTAAGGGTCTGCAAAATGAATGGATATTCTACAAATTTATGACCTTGGCGTCGTCATCGCCACAAGGTCGAGTGTTGTTTGCGAATACTCCTCGAATCTCTATCGAGTCTATAGTCATAAAACCTAAAAAAGAGATCCACCTTGCTTCTTTCTACCCCGCATGCATGCATGCAGGGTAGGCTCATGACTGCGTGCGCTATGCCTGCTCTGGCCTTGCAGTCCGAAACGCTGTGTGGGCGGCATTCGGGCCTACTAATATCCGGGCCACTTTCGGAGCAAATTTCAGGCTTGGTAGACCCCTTCCTCGCTTGGAACTTCAGGCACCGCTTATAGTAAGTTTCGCGCCGCTTTGCAGTCTGCGTCTCTTCATTCTAGTCTACCTCGCTGAGCCAGTGGCGGTGCGGACGCGCTGCTCCATTTGGAATGTTTAGCCTACTCCGGATTGAAAAAACTGTAAGGGGTCTACTTTGACATCGCCAAAATCTGGCACCCTCTTTTTGTCGGGACGCTGCCTTTAACCTAGTAGGAAGATTGATGACTCTGCGGACTGTGCCTAGCCAAATGTATTTTCAAACGCTAATTGGAAGGCTTTTAAGATTGCCCAAGAAGCAGGACGATGCGGTTCCATTTGTCATAATGTTTGCGAGGTGAAATTTTTCCAAATTTGCGATGCGCAAACAGTACAAACTGTCAGCTGTCATTGCTTTTTTGAAAGAGTTCTTATGCTAATGAAGGCTACTCAGATTGTGAATGCAAATTTAGAATATTTTTACTGCATCTGAGTTCTCTTTTCGAGGTTAACGCAAAAGGGAGTACTTGCTGCAAAAAGGAAAGGACTGGTTTGTAAAGCTATAATTCTAATATGTTGTATTCCAATAGAACCGTACAGTGCAGGTACTGAAGTTTTAGGCATTGATTTTCACACCGATAATATCATCTCAAGGAGTACTACCTCCGCACTCGCTCTCGTTCAGCCCCTTGATGTCAAGAAGGAAATATGTGACTACAAAGCTCTTCAAATACTACTCAGCCGTCGCAGGCACCTCGGTAGGTTGCCAGAACCCGATAGTGTACATCGCTCCCACTTGGAAGTGCTGTTCGTAATTTAATTTGGAATCCTTTACAGCAGTGTATTAGAGTCAACGACCCTAAACAGCAGGCGATAGGCGAAGGCGCTGTAATTGATAGGAATGCCCGACCTCGAGCAAAGTTGTTCAACTTTGTACGTTTAGTTGTACTGGAGCAAATTTACCTTTGGATTAGCATTGCAGTAATAATGAGCGCTTTACATAGCAAGCAATAAAACATTGCCGCTGCTGAAAAGCAACAAAAAACGAGGGAATTTTGTGCTTTTCATGTATACAAAGGCGTGGGACACGGATTTTTTTTATTATTATTCATCGATCGGGGTAAGGTAGGTACAACGGCAATTTTACTTTCTTTTTAACCTACTATCTATTCGTCTTTTACTCTATCTATCTCTACCCTCTACTTTTTACTGCAATCTTCTGTTACTTCTACATGGAATGAAATAGACAATTGAGAAAAGCATGTCTGTAATTCCAGCGAATTTTGTAGTGAACATCTCCGATGACATCCGAGAAGAGTGTCATCAGTCTTCATTTGAAAGCTTCCTTTATGGCCTTGCACTATCGGATGCTTTATTGATCTATTATAGATTGTCTTTAGAAGCGAATTTTTTTTCAAACTAGAGTTAAGTTACGTTTTCTCTAACTATTTATGGCTCCATTGATCCCTTATTTTTTGGTGTTTGCTTCACAGTCCTGAAACAATATAACATACCTTTTGAACTCGAATGCATTTGTCTTCTTTTTCAAATAAATTTCTAGTAGTCTTTTTGATGTTCTGCTAATTTAATTGAATTTTTGAGATGAAGTGACCTTTTTTAGCGGTGTGACTTTTCATAAATAATGTTGAGGAAGTTCATGATTGATCACTCCGGCGTTGGATGCCAGTAAGTGATATTTAACTCGGAAAGCAAATTTGTGATTGCACACGTAGCGAAGGGATTAGAGACGGGAATGATGATAGTTGTTGATTTATTTGAAGCTTCAGGAAGCGTTTATGAAGCTACTGGATTGTAGCGCACATTCTTTGCTACAGTCACCCAGCTCCGTTTACTTCCTTGCTTCGCTGTTTCATCTATCTCGACTTTAAATTTGAGTCTTGAGGTGTGCATCATCGCTTTTCTTAATGCCTTTGTTTGATACGGAGTATATAGTACACTGTTGTAGGTCAATTTTCTCGTTCATGAAGTAATTTTGAGTTGTTAAAAGCCAGCACCTTGACCTTAGACACTTACTTACAGCGTATAAAGTATAGTTCATCTGCTCGCACCGGGTGCTTGCAGAGGTGCATCACACATATTATATTAGGGTGAACGGTAAAAAATGGGACACCTTGAGAATAATTGCAGATTTCTCAAGGAAGAAAAGTGACTGAACTTTCCATTTTTGATGGATATTAGAATAAATTATTCTCTTTCAGATAGCACCTATATAAGGTCATTTATATAATTGACAATTTTTATACTTGCTAAAATGCAAAGTTAGTTACTTCGAGAAATTATGAAGTTTGAGCAGTATCGGCGCAGTAAAATATGTGAGACCACCCAAAGTACCACTGCTGGAGTGGGTGGTGGGACAGTCACCAAACCCATGACGGCTTGGTGGCTTTAACTCTTAATGTCAGGAGATATGCCCATTAACAGCTTCGAGAACAAAGATACGCGTTATTCAATTCTTTGCAGGTAAACGCATGATTTCTAGGTATCATCTGATAGAGCTTTTTACGCTCTATCCATCCATATGCAGCTTACCTCAGATTTTATCTATCTTCGGAAAACATAGGGCAAAACATAATTTTTTGGTTTTTTGTTGCGCCAAAAATAGCTATTTTTCAGGTTTGTTCGATTTTTTCTTCTGAAATTGAAAAGAAATCTTATGCATTTAACATATCCTTCGAAAGAGCATGAAGAGCTCTTTCGAATGGTATGTCATTTGCTTTACGACTTTACGGTATAACAGCGCAAGATTGAAAATTGCTCAAAAAACCCTGTTCGAGTTCTTCACGGCGCCACGTGTAGGGTAGTGGAAGAGGAGCGTTAACGCGTTGTCAGAATAATAAGCGAAGGTCGCCCATGTAAGCAACGTTTAAGTTGCCGCTTACTTGCTGTTGCCCGAAACAAAAAAATTCCAAAATGTAATGAAAATCAAGCTGTCCCATTTTTTACCGTTCACCCTAATAGAATTTACCTTATGTAACTGGTGGTTGAAGAGTTTTTGACTTTTGTGTAGTGCTGGAAAGCATTCTTGTTTAGCTTGAGCGGTTTAGCAGCTGGCATATGATGATTCATTACAAATGTCATATTCTTCGGACGCATGTGTACTACATCATTATGATATTTGATGCCAATCAAGTTCAGTAAGGTATGCTTTTTTGGAAGGGGGAAAAGGTGCTTTTTTTAGAGCTTACATACAATTTCTCTCCAAATCTTGTGGTCACTCCAAGCATTTTTGCTTTTATTACTGAAGCTTTACTTACTTACTAATTCTTGTTTGTGGGCCTCGAGAAGCCATCGCAAGTCTTCAATGAAATACTATAGGGAAAATTCTTCTGATTTCTACCAAAAAGCTCTATCTGAAAACCTCAAGTTTGAGCGGTGTTGGCACAACAATCAAGTAAGGATAATTTTTATTTGTGAAAGAAGCTGATATGACGGACTGAAATTGTACCAGGCTCGATATAGTTAGTTTCCCTATATTTAGTATAGCACGAAAGCTTTATGTGCCGATTGTAACGGAAGCCAACATCGCTTCACATGCTCTGCGCTTTTTTGCAAATCTACTTTAAATTACAGTTTCTTGTGCTACGTATAAGATGGATTTTCCTATAAGTGACGTATTTGCTCTCCGATTTTTACAGTTTTTCGTAAGCAGACGCCAATGGAAGATACGGATACAGCTGATACGGTGATGCATTCAAAAGATGAATTCGATGAGCATTTTTGGTCAAGCTGCCCAGATGCAGAATTATTATCATTTGAACATGTGTTACATGTCTATCGCAATCAAACAATCACATATAATTTACTGGATGATGAAAGCAGAGGGTACAGGTGCCAAAGAGAAGAGCATAAGATAGGTCTACAACTAGCTTTAACACTACTTGTTTCTACTTTGGATTCAAATATAATGGAAGCAACCTCCTTCCGAATCTGCAAGTTAAAACAGAGGTATATTATTCCATGTATGCCTGGAATACTCAATAATATATTTCTACTGCTTACTGCGCAGGAAACTAACCGTGACTGAGCTGCCATACGACGTGAGCAGCAATGACTACGCTATGAGGAATTGGAAGAAATTCGAGCGCTATGTAAAGTATTGCCGTCAATCCCGTAGACAAGCTTATGAAAAGCACCTGCACGAATATCTGAATCGAAGACGATAAGACACCTAAATCTAACTCTGAAGTGTTATAATGAAGTCTATAAGTGAACCGAATAAGTGAAAGGCACGTCCACCCTAAGTTAAGCGTTTTGAGCTTTTGGCAGCATATGATAGCAGGGCCAATCACCGTTCCGGAAAGCTGGCCTGCGGGCTCTCCGGAACGGGAATTCTTGGGGTTTTCGCGGATTTTCGACTTCGAGAAGGCCCCGGAACAATGAAAACATGGAAGTCAAAAATCTTGGTGGACGATGCCTTCAAAATGCTTTTGCAATACAATGAAACAAATCAGGAGCGGCTTTACCGACCTTCTATTATGCAAAGATGCATCAGAGGCTAAAGAAAATTACTTAGATTTCAGTTTTTCCGAGTACGGTCAAAATCCAAATCTTGCCATAAAATCTGTGCAGTTCGTATTATAGGTTCTATCATTTGCTCTTTCCAACTAAACGAAAATTGCGCCAGTTGGTTGTCCCTGTAAAAACCAATGATATTCGACACAAATGCCAAAAAATTCAAGTCTAGTGTTTTGTACTACTTGCTCGCAAATCATGTCTTTACACAAAGACAACCAACCGCGCACACTTGCTTATTTACAAAGGGCGATTGATATAACTTATAAGACCGAACTGCTCGGATTTTTTTGTCGCAATCCAAAGTATTTACTCCCAAACTTAGAAAAAGTGTGATCTGAAGGGAATGGCCAGAATTCGAAGTGGCCAATCTAAACAAGCTGCATACTTTTGCACGATTTGATGTTGACTTCAAAGCTGTCTTCCATATCCGCTGAAATCCTTTGTAGACGATGTTTGGCTAGTTTATTGACTAGATTGTACATAAAATTCGCGAAATTGAACATATTATTGCTTTTCTACAGCTTCAGGTATGGGCTAAGCGACGTAACGTAGGTGCATGTTCTGACCCAGCAGCAAGTAGAACATGGCTCTATGCCGTCCAATTTGCACTTTGCAAGCATGATTTGTTGACAAAACAATGGCATTTAATGACTAGCTTGGTCCACAAAAGTGTTTAGCAGATAAGGAAGACAGTCAGAATCAGCGTTCTATGCTGCGTCCCATTGCTTTTGAACAAAGTCAACAGCAAGGATTTCATTCAATAATGAAAAGGTTATGAAATTTTGAAAATGTTGCGAAGATCTTTTATTCTAAACCAATCTTATATATAAAGCTGAATGTCTGTCTGTATGTCTGTCTGTATGTATGTATGTCTGTCTGTACGTATGTGCGGAATAGAAATTTTTATTTCTGAACCGATCGGGACCAAACTTGGCACACATATACTTCGGGGCAGGGAGCGTGTCATAGGCTACTTTTCGTTACAGGGGGGTAATCGAACATGCTGATCACCCCCGTGGGGGTGATCAGCATGTTCGATTACCCCCCTGTGCAAAATCCCAGCCCCGTAGCTCAAAATTTGCAAAAAATCGGTGAAATCGACATCGATCGATAACGAAAAGTGGACTATGACACGCTCCCTTCCCCGAAGTGTATGTGTGCAAAGTTTGGCCCCGGGCGGAGCCGGGTTTGCCATCTAGTACTTGCTAAGTTTTGACTACTTGTAAGAAGTGTGTAAAAGTAGACCAGAAGGTGTGGGGTAATTGCGAAGCCACCCACAAGCCACACTGGTGCGACAAAACTTTATTCCAACCCAATACTTGCTTATCCAAAAATCAGTAGTCGATATGATATGTGCTTCGACACGAATTACCTGTAGACGGCTTCTGGAAACACTGCTCCTATTTCTTATGTAGAAGCACACTATGAAGTACAAGGTGGCCAATGTGACTGCCAGAGTTGAGTTATGAATCGTTAGACATAAGGAGGTATAGTGGGCGAAATCCTGAAAAAGTTCTTTCTGATATCGCCTTCCGTATGGCACAAAGATTTCGTCGCGCACATTAGGGAGCGAAATTTAGCGAATGGCTTAAATATGCCCTTTCCAGTTATCTAGAAAGTATAGTTTCTGGTTTACCACATGAGACTCAGTTATCATAGGAGAGCCTATATACGCGGATGCCACACTGTTGAAGAGAAGTGGTCTGATGGTGAACCATACAATAATCATATAGAATGCTGAGATAAGCATCCACATATAAATCAGATTTCCTATAAAACAAGGTTTTGAGAAACGTTTGCAAAAACGCTGGCAACCTCGAAAAAGAAACTGCAACTTTCTTGCTACGGGCATCATTTCGACGAATCTGTGAAGCGCTAAAACTGCACAGTTGAAAGACGCACCAAACCGGAGACCTGAAGAAAACTTGTTGCAAAAAGTATGGGTCGTTGCTCAAGTTGTGTAACATTTTGACTTTGTACCGCAATAGATCGTGTGCTTCTTATTTTCAATCAGATTCCGGATGCTATACGATAAAGTCAGGGAAGCTCTACAAAATAACATGTGTATTTCCTTACCCGCTTTGAAATCTCAAGTTTGAATCTAAAATCCGACAAGTTCTGGATTAACAATTTTGAAAATTTTTAATCCGGAATTTTTTTTACGAATCTCTCACTACCCACGCACACACTTCTACATCAGATATTTATATATGCTGGTGCTCTTTTCTTCTCCCGTTAGAAAAGGAGAAAGCAAATGTTTTCAAGCTTTTACCAAAACGATGATGTCCTGTTTCCACATAAACAGTTGTATACTAAAAACCTTCAAAAGTACAACCGTAAAGCTTTTTACAACTCAATCCTCAAGAACTATTAGGCCTTGTAAAAATAATTTCGTTCCCCTAGGCCCACATTCCAAACAACATTTTTCCTTGAAAAGCTTCTTCAATATAGATTTTGCATATCATTAGAAAGCTTTCTTCATGTACCTTATGACAGTGGTGAAATTAAGCTCCTATCTCATCCGTGAGAATTTCACCAGCATCTCGCACAGCTGCACTCAAAATTCGAATTTAGTTGCTTCATCTTCCTTGGCCACAATTCTGGCGCAAATGAACGAATTCTTATAAAAACATAGTTACTGTATGGGATGAATATTGTTTATATATTGCACGTTTAAATAAGTTTTTCGAATATATCTGGACTAAGAAATCGACGCCTCAAAATAGATACTCGGTGCATAGCACTCTATGAGTTAAAATTCTTCCTGATTAAGGCAATCGCCGAAGCTTCGCCTATTTTCGTATTTCAGGGCATCTTGCCTACAATTTTTGCAGGGAAACTTAGCTATTCAGTGCATAAAGAATTCCAAATTTTTATAGTTCCCCTTCTCTTAGCACAAATAGGCTCGAGATTTTGAGCAATTTTGGATTTCTCTCTTTTCTTTCCGCAGAACTCTATCGTTGAGGTCTTTTCTAAGCAGGCGTATACTACTGGCTTGCGTCTACTAAATAAGCTGGTCAGCGGCCATAGGAATAAAATTTGAAGAAGGGAGTTGTGATCTCTCAAAAACAAGATTTTCAAAAAAAAACTTTCGGTTTTTTGACGCATAGTTTTCTTCCGATATCAGTATATGCAGGTGCGCGCTAGGTTACGAAAAGCCTACTGCTTCAAAGTTTTGATTGCGTTCAAAAATATGAAAACTGGGCAAAGTTATAGCCTTCTAAAGTAAAACTTAGCAAAACGGACATTATTTTTGCAACAACCTAATATTATGTCGGTCCGGAAGTTTTGTCGGTTTTTTGAAATGACCAGCAAATCTTGTACACTAAAGACAAGCAAACACTTCAAGCTGCATCCGGTGCAGAAATTGATAGCCAGCAGATAGGGCAAACTTTTGCCAGCAAAAGCAATATTTTGTAGCTTTGTAGCTTGTCTTTCAGAATTTGTAAAATTCATTTTGAAGTAACCAGATTTTACATTTCACCCATTCTAATCTCTTAGAACTTAAAACGGTAAACAGCTCAGTTACCATTTGATGCAACTTTTTCTCCCCTTTCTAAAAGTTGTCTTTTCTTGGCGAGACAAGCGAATTTTGCGGAGAACATTGCGTATTTCTCAATTTCAGGAGCGCGCATGATGTACCTCAAGTTTTGAAATCTTCATATTTTGGGGCGAAAATCGCTCATTTACTTTGTACAGATACTGACGGTAATGAATCGAGTGTCGAAGCGCCAGTATTCTGAAGATTTTGTAGTGTCTCGTGTAGTAACTGGTTATGTGATTTTCCCAAAACTCGAGACTTCTCGAAAATTTAGCAAAATTCTGAAAGAGTGGGTGGAAAAAGGAGAAAAATTCCTTGGTTGTCAAAAGGTTTGCCCTATCTGCTGGTTAATGAAGTGGTTTAAAGTCTTATAAAAATTTTGAATATTAGCGAAATTTGGACATGGTGAAAATGAGGGGTCGTAATTCCCAGCGGTAATCTCAGCGCTCATCAAAACTTTCGCATCGAAATTATAGCTGCTGGAAAGAGGAAGAAATTCGATCTGATGCTGCTTAAAGCATTTGTTTTTACTATGGAGGAATTTACGGGTCATTCAAAAACCGACAAAACTTTCAGACCGACCTAATATTATCTTCAGCTCTTACTAGAGTATTCATGCTATAATCGATAGTTCTTTTGAGCCAAATGTTATCAAGAGCCAAATTGTATGGTCCAACTTCTAAAAAATTGTGGTATACATTTACTTACACATGTCGGAACAACATAAAATTTTAAAAAATAAAAATATTCGTTTTTTCGATTTTCGGAAGAGAATGAAGTTTATGGATGCCCGATATGGAACACATAAAGAACGAATGAGAGATCCGAATGATTTTTCAAACGAAGGTATTGAATTTTTTTAGTTTTTAAACATACAGAACTTTTAGAGTTTGGCCTCAAAAATGAGGTGGATAAAAGCTGAACGAACTTACGAACTTGCGAACTTTTACACAAAAAAGGCGAAGCGAGTTATGGGCTTGCTGTTGTGAGTAATGAACAAACTTGTGAATGTAGTAGGAGGGCGTGTAGATAAGAATCTGCTCGAAAAAAATGCTAGGATCAGAATTTCGACGCCGAGTCAGTAGGTCGGGCAACACACAAATTTTGCATAGAAAAAAAGAACATAGCTTACTTCAGAATAATGCTAAGCAGCTAGGAACAGCATATCTAGAATCAGCATTCCAAGCTGATTCAAATATATGTGCTTCATCTCAAAAAGCGAGTCTACGTTAGTATCCTTCCCTTGCTAGATTCGCCTTTTGAGACGGGACACATATACTTGGAATCAGCTTTGAACGCTGATTTCAAATATGCTGTCAGCTGCTTAGCATTATTCGAAGCGAGTTGTGGGCCTGCTGTTGTGAGTAACTAACATCTCAGACAGTCGAAGGGATACCTCCGGCGGGCAAATGGCGCGAGTCTGCCACTTTGCGCTCTGGAGCGCTTTGGAGCCCTGCCATTGCACCCATTTTGGTGCTCCGGGGCTCTCCCAGATTTGGCGCCCCTCCGGAGCAGAGATTTGCGCGTCCCGTCACGGTGACGTCATGGTGAACGAATGGGACCCCTCTCCGGGAAGCGCAAATCTCTGCTCCGGAGGTGCGCCAGATTTGGGAAAGCCCCGAGCACCAAAATGGGTGAAATGGCAGGGCTCCGGAGCGGCAGACTCGCGCCATTTGTCCGCCGGAGGTATCCCTTCGACTTTCTGAAGTGCTTATGGATTTCGTGAGACTGTAGATAAGAATCTGCCCGAAAATGTGTTAGGATCTTGAACTAGCACCAGATCAATTCTTTCGATCTGAACATTATACAATTGCAAAACCACCTAGACGTCGACACCGTAACATCAGTAAGTCGACGGCTAGCAAACTTTGCATAGAAAAGGGACCATAGCTCGCTTCAGAATAACGCTAAGCAGCTATAAACAGCATATCTTGGAATCAGCGTTCCAAGATGATTTTAAATATATGTGTCTCATCTCAAAAGGCAAATCTAAGTTAGTATTCTTCCCTTGTTAGTGCGGTGAAAATAGTGTAATAAATCTTACGTTGCAACTCTATACTTGAACAAAAAGGTAGAAGTAATGTCTTATTTAAAAGTTGATTTCTAAAGTTCGATGTGCAATTCTATCGCATCATTTTCAGCCATCTGGATCAATCTCCATCGATTACTATTATGGTTCCAGTCAAACCGTACATGCACAGTAACAAGTTTCAGTAAGACCAAGCATTTGCTGTACTCGAATAGCAAAATATCTACTTATACCAAAATAAAACCTACTATAGGCTAGATGGCCGGTAAACCAATTGAAAGCCACAGAAGTGCAGAAAACAGCGCCCGTCTAGATTTGTTCTCTGTACAGCAAACTTTTGATATATTTGGTTTACTTACAAAGTGAAAATATGGGTTTATATATGAGCAAAGTAGCAAGTTGAAGATGTCGACAAATCCGTTGAAAAACATAAGCTTGTAACAAGCTTTCTTCAGCAAAAGGCCTCGACACATTCCTGCCAAGCAGAGTGCGTAAATAATCTATATCAGTCTAATTAAACGCTAAACTATGAGGCTATTGACTTACGAGGAAAATAGTTCCAACTATAGCGAAGTAAGCCCCTTGATAAATATTCACTGATCCACGGCTCTTCCATTCCGCATACGATCGCGAACTGCAATTGTACTCCTCTTCGTTGATAATCCAGGGCAAGTGGAAGTAGAATAAGGTCATGGGTTGTCTGCTGTTTTTCTAAATGATGGAAGCTCAGACTATCAATGAGACTCTATTCGGCTAGAGAGTGATGGCAAAAGTCAGGTCATATCTTCGAAGAAATTTTGCGTTGAAACTTAAGTCTAGCACTTTGGAAGATCCTCAAGCTCCTGCAGGTTTGAGACTCCATTTGGTACGTATAGGTCAAAGCGAAGAAATTATGCTGTCCCTGCTAATGCTGGAAGCAGAAATCACTGTTCTAAAAACCCGGCAATGAAAGCTGATAAAGCCGAACACACGAATATTTTTTCTTCAATCTTAGTAGCTAAAAATGCTTAAAGGCTCGATAACTTTCAGTTTTACTTCCGCTCAGTGTTTCACGACTTATTCTTTCTCATTTCAAATCAACCCATGTTGATCGGATGTATTAGGTCGTTGCGAAAGTAATGTCGCTTTATTCAAACGTACGCCACATCTCGCGGAACAAAGATGTGCAAGAGATTCCAGTAGTATTTGATGCAGAATTACATTCTCTTTCTAAAGGTTATATAACCTCAGCACAAAATTCATAACCTCTCGAAAAATTATCAAAATCTGCGACCCATGCTTCTTG